AAACAGTGGAATTCTATAAAAAGTCAATGTTTTTTTTTTTTTCCCCCCCCCCCCCCCCTTTATTTCCTCCTGATACAATACATCCAGCCTTTTTTTCCTGTAAGCAAACACAGCTATTGAAAAGACACCAGGTTTTCAGTAAGATACAAATGAATCCTACCTGGACATCCTTAGCAGTTAAAAGAAGAACTTGAAGAACTCTCCAAGATAGAAACAAGCTTGAAAGTCTGTCAGTCTTCTGCTTGTAATCTGTCCTTCTGCTTGTTAGCTATCTTGGGGAGACGCATACAGTCAGTGTGTTTTGTTTTTCAGAAGTTGATCTGCCTCTGAAAAAAGATGGGTTCACCTCGGAAAGTACAACTCTGGAAGCCTTGCTGCGTGGAGAGGGAATAGAGAAAAAAATGGACACTAAAGAGGAAGACACTATACAAGAAATCCAGGTAAAGGAGAGCACCATGCCCTGACAGCAGCGCTGGATTTTACAATTTGTAGCTAAGTGTAGTAGAGTTTGTCCTGTAGCAGAACAGTGCATCTGTTGATAGTTGTGTCGTTCTACTGTCAAAATGTTATCAAACCATTGTGCTACACTGTGATGCTCAAAATGAACTTGGGATCTTGCACACTTCTCCTGTCACGAGAATCTCAGTTGTTTGGCTGTGTTCTGCACAACTCCTGTGTTGGAATTTGTTTTGCAGCACTATGAGACGATTACATATAAAAGTGACAAGCAGAGATAGGTCCCAACCATAAGCTGAATTTTAGTACCTCATGTTTAAAGGGAATTTGGACATGGATTTGAATTTGGATTCACAGCTGCTGACTGCAGACAAAAACATGTTGTTGTCTTGCCTGTTTTCTTTTTTTATGCTGAGAAGCCTTCAGGAAGTATACGAGCAAAGTAAATAATTAAAAATATTCTAATCTTAATTATCTCAGTTATTATTAGTGATGCAGGTGTGAGAAATGTTGCCTCTTCACACACATTATGATTTAAAAGTTATTTCTTGGGATTCCATTTCATCCTTTCATCCTTTAACAATTAAAAATAGAAGCACATTTGTGGATCTATCATAGAATTAATTCAGCTAGTATAAACGGTTCTTATATAAGTGTATGTCACTTTATAAAGACACCTTAAATCGCTATGAAAGCGGGCCTCTCCCACAGCAGCACATCTTTGGTGATGCTAAAACACCATTGTGCTATGGATCTGTTAGTGATTTTTAGTGAGAGCCATTGGCAATGTGTCCAACTTGGTAATTTTGACTAAGATACAACATGTTGCATCTATACCTAAAACTAGTAAAAATTTGAGTGGGCAGCCCCATGCCAAATGAAACAGAAGAATGTGGGCATCAAATCTGTATTACTTGGAGCTCAGTCCTACTGGTTTATTTGCTAGAAATTTCCCACATGTAAGGGCAGCAAAATTAGGTCTCCCATTCCCAGTTACACAGGTAAAGGAGCACCATTAAAGAGGAAGCATCTCATACTCATGGAGTGAAAAGCTTGGCATGAGGTCTGCTCTGTGTTTCCTTCTTCAGTAGTGTATCTGGGTCTGTTAAGCTGAGCCCTAAAGCTCTGTTTATACCTGCTTCCAAGGTCACAAGAAGTCATGGTGCAGCATCCTTATGAGATCGACCAGTGCCTTTGGATGTTGCTGTGCGATCTGAGCTCCCAAATTATCCCCAGCAGCAGTCCAAGGAAAGAGACTTCAGAGACAGTGGAACTGACACAAGTCTGGGCATTGAAGAGTAGGGAGGGGGTGCAAAAATGTGCAAAAAGTTTTCAGCCAACTGCTGTAGCCGTGACCTGTCACCTGGATGCTAGTTTCATCAGAACAGATGCAAAAGGCATATCTTGCTGTTGTTCCTTATGCAAGCACAGCTTATCTGGATTCAGTCTATACAACAACAACTGCCGAAGCCTTTACTAGTAGCCAGCTTTCACTTTGTACTTTGGCACCTGGCAGCTAGACTGTACCAGATCAAAATCATGATCAGTGCCTTTTATCGGTATGACAAATAAGAGAATGCAAATCTCTTTTTTGTTTCTTTGCATGCTTTTCTGTGCTGTAACTTGAAAGGACCCAGCCTCAGTGGTGGTGAAAGTGAGCAGGTGGGATAGACGTAATTGTAATTCCTACCTCAGTCCCAGCCACTTACCGTCCTCTCGAACTCATAGTATCTGTCAGGAGAAGAAGACTTGGTGCTTCACTGCACTGAAGTACATTGGGCTGGGAAACTCTTTTAGAAAGACAGAATAGGAAAAGAAAAGTTACTTTGCTAAAAAGGGTAAGCATTCCCCCTGCTAAATAGATGCAGTCATTGGGACCTGCTGTACAGATGGTATTTAACAGGCTTGAGGATTTTACCCTACAGTAAATTGGTATTGAATGCATGTCTCCATCACGTGCTGGAGAAGGCTTAGAATAGCTTTTTGACCATGCATCAGAAAGGCTGTACCCCTTCTATTAAGGAATAAAGTCATTACCCTGGCAGTGTCACTAAATTCACACTTAGTTACTTATTTTTCTCTCCTAAATTGATGCTGCAATTTTAAAGAAAGTGGTTTAAAATGTTTCTCTTAACTGCTCTTGTGTAGTATTATTGTTGTAAACTAGCTCCTTCCCCTCCCACATACGAAGGTTGCAGCCTTCTCTTTTTTTGAAGATACTTTAAGATATGAAGCAATGTGAAAATATAAACTCATATCAGTAAGTTTGCTTATTTTCTTACATACCACTAGTCTCCTCATGTACAACAAATTTTCCAAGTGCTTCAGTTTCTTAAGATGAAGTCAATTAATGTATGCAATTGCATGAATTTTGAAGAAACATTTTATGTATGCAGAAGTGGAACTTGCTTAACCTTTACAACCTCTAGTATTTAATACTCTAGTATTATGTGAAATTGTATTTCATGATGGTCTGACCTCATTAATAGCCTCCTGAGATTTAAAAATAAAAGGAGCAAAAACCAGATGAAGACTTAATCCTCTACCATGTTGTAAAAGTTGTTTGTACTTTTTAAAAGGAACACTGTCCAATACTAGTCTTAAAAATCTAGCTGATAAAATAAGAATAAACTTGTATAGCTGGTCTTCCAAATACAGGCTTTTTTAAAACTGAAATTTCTGTTGTATTATTTCCCACAAATTCAGAATTTGGTGCTTGAGGTATGTAGGAAAGACAGAAAGCAACCATGATTTGCTCCTGTTCTCCCTCTGCTGGCTCTCAAACAGCTGTTAAGTAGAAATGAGAGGGAAGGGACAAACACAGTAAGACTGAAAAGCCTCTCCATCAGTTTTATGTCACTGATTTAAATCTGCATCATGGCTGCATGTTGTAATTTAAATGAATGGTGGCATAGCAAAGATTGCAGATTAGTCCCTTATGAAATGGCATGGCACCATGAATGAATGGCAGGAGTGGCTGGGCCCCATTTCTGTATTTCTAGCAGGCGTACCAAGGGTCGAGGAGATTTCAATGAGACTTCTTTCCACATTAGTGTTGCAATGATTTGTCTTGCCTTTGTCCGTGTGATGTCCATCTTGTGCATGTTTTCAGGGCAGCCAGCCTGTGTTTGATTCTACAGAGATTACATTTCAAAAGATCAAGACAAAAGGATTGAAGTTCCCTGGACTGGGCATCTCACAGTGGTGTGAGATGATGAATTGTTGTTCCTATTAAATAATTGAGGAAACTATTGCTGTTGTTCCTATTAACTTCAATGAGACTTGTACTTCCTCAGCATTCTCATGCAGCAAGACCCCTGCTTCCAGATTGTACCTGTGGCGTAAGCCCTGAATGATGTTACTATCTAGATCCACTAAACATGCTGGAATATACAGAGGAATTTTGTCTATTCTTGCTAAACAAAGAAAATTGTGGGCTGCCAAGGAGAAAAAAACCTGATTTTTGTCTTCTTAAAGTGCATTCTCAACATTAGAGGAAAACAGAACAATTTAAGGTGCAAGAAACCAAAACTAAAAAATCATGCAAACAATTTCCCAGACAGGGCCTGCAGTTATGCATACTAATACTTGAGTTGTTTTGGGATATCAGTGCTCAGTGATGCCACTATTATTTCTTAGGAACCTTTTTTTCGTAGTTGACTGATATCAGTGGTGTTTCTAAATAAGAACTCCCTGGAGAACTGAGGGTGGAAGGGAAAGCAAATTTTGCTTTAGTGGAAAGAAGTAGGGCTTCTGGGATCTGGTTTGGCATTATAGCATTAATCAACTGTAATTTAATAACCTGCAGTCTGTGTAGTAAAGAGCAGCAGTTGGTTGTATGTGTTACCTTCTTTTCTTCTAACCATTCCTGTTTATTGTTCAACCACAGAGGGTTTTAGAAAATGATGAAAATGCAGATGAAGTGAATGAGGAAGAGGATTTGGAAGAAGATATTCCAAAACGAAAGAACAGGCCTAGAGGACGGGTAGGTGGGGAGTTTACTGGAATGGAAAGGAAGGAAGCAAGCTTCTGCTTTCTAATGTGTATTTGTCACGTGTATTGTATATGCAAAGTGTATATCCATGGATATATGATAGTGATAACACTATAGGTAATTTTCAGTCATATGGTCAAAGATTTTTAATATTTTTTCAGTTTATTTTTGTGAATTGCCAAGAAAAAAGAACTATTTCGAGAGTAAAAATTTGGGGTAAATTTATTATAGTGTCGTATTTACAATTTTAGTGTAATGTGAAGTGTAATTATTATGATGACATCCTGCTGTTACAATGCTCTTACTTTGAAACAACTTTTACTAATTACAGAAAAGCAACAAATTCAGTCATGACAGCCCAAAAAAATTCATAAAAGTAACTTGAACTGTATTAATAAGTTTTCCAGCTTTCTCCAAGGTAGCACTTTGTGGCTGACACTGGCCCTCTTGAGCCCATGGCAAATCTTCCATTTGCTTAAAATGGGCAATATTTTATCCTTAGGGGAGTCTGTGTCCCTTCTCTTACCTAAGATGTCTTTTCACAATTTCAGCAGGGCACCAGTTAAATAACGAGGCCAACATTTTAAAACTTGGAATCAACATTTTCAATTGTGGCCCTATAAGCTAGGCATCTAAATAAACGTGAACACAATTCTCAGAACTTTCGAGCATTTTCATCTCTCTTTGGCTCCAGCAGATGCTGCAGAGGCACAGGAGCTCTAGAAGTACCTTTTGATGTGTTTGTAGGAGTCAAGCAAGAAGGGCCACATTTTAGGCCAAATGAGCAGGATATAATAGCTTTTGAATGCAAGAGAGACATGAAACCACATTGAATACTTGCAATGTTCTTATGCATCAGACCCTCTCTTTTGGTTTCGTCTGTTGTTGTGTTGTTTCAGTTTTCTGCTCCTCTTTATTTTGGAGCTTAAGTCCTTTAATATAAGATCAAAGCACTTTAATAATTGGATAAGTATATATTTCACCTTCCTTATTCTCAAAATCACCTGAACCAGTTTCTTTCTTTCTTTCTTTCTTAGCCAAAGACCCCCACCTGGAAAAAAATTTTCCAGAAAAATGTAAGTTTCAGAAAATTTGTATGAACCAGTAACCAAAACCAGGAGTTAGAATCGATACATGCACACAAGCTTGACTGTAGCGATCAACTACTATTCCAGGCTAACAACTCTTTTCTAATAAGTTGCTCTCACATAAATTGCGCATGCTGGATAGGGTGAGTGAAAGGGAGTGAAGAGCTAAAAGAGATATATTGCTCAGGAGAAGGGAATTTGCTGTATTCATACATCCCAGGCCTACACAAACAAAGTCCAGAAGTTACTATTATGTGCAAAGTTTTACTCCCCTGTTCAGGAAGCTATTTCAGAATAACTCTTACTACTTTTTCTCTGCTA